TACATTATAACATTAGGCTTTATAAGAAGTGGACTAGATTATCTAAAATTTCATTAAACCAAATTTTCAAACAGTCCCATTTCTGCCAAGAAAATAGTGAACATATTAACATATATACTGTGAGGTAGCTCCTTACAATAGAAATGCACATGTTTGAATTTCAAAAAAAATTTCAACTTGAATGAAACAGTTTGATATACCCAATATATGTTAGAATGTAAAAGTCAAGAAATTTGAATGTAATTTCAATTTAAGGATACTTGTTTTATGTTTGTAATTAATTATATTAGAATTAAATGTTATTAAAATTATTGTCAATGACAAATTACGGTCAACTTCTTTAGAAAATCGGTATTAGTTAAAAGGGCATTAGCTACGAAATATATATAAAAAAAATATGTATGTTTTTTTCTTTGCTCAATCTTTAATGAAAGTGATATAGTGAAATAATAATTCGCTTTTAGCAGCCAATTTGGTTCAATTTTGTCAAAATAAGATAAGAAACATCGCTGATAAATTATTCACTTGCAAGTGAATAATTAGACCTCATTCAATTTGTATTCATGTGACCTTATATTTAATCCCTTCGCTTGAGATGGGTTACGCATGTATTCAGCTATTAAAAGGAAAAGAATGTCAACATTGAAAGCGAAACAAGGATGAACCATTTGTTTGACTGATTCGATTCATAAAAAAAAAATCATTCTTTTACAGGTAAATACGATGATGAACATGCTTTTTAACCTACAATATGAAATCAAACTAACCTAGAAAATCCAATTGCACGTGGCCGCTATCTGTTTATATTTATATTTATGTTTATATCGGGTTATTTGACCGTTGGCAGTCTTCGGAGGTCATGGTTTATTAGATGACGTCTAGACAAAAACACACACGAAATGTTGATACATATTATAGAGTCCATGCATTGTAATTGTTTATTTTCGACTTTCTGTAATTTGGATATACGTTTTAGTATGTTATAAATCAAATATGAGAATTTGAGTCAAATCGGTGAACATGATTTTGACAGCTAATGCCCCTCTAAAGATAATAATAGTTACATTTTTCAATTTTCCCAGGTCTGATTGACTGAAAGTATGGATAGTCGCATTCAGAGTGTATCATCAGCCCCGCAGTGAGAATTTCAAAGTTACACTGTAGCTGATTTGCATCATGGTGCTTTGATCAATTCATGTATAGAAAAACGAATCACGTTTCCTTTAAAAAAAAGTTAAAGATGTCGTAACTTAATTGTTAATAATTTATTTTAATATTTTATTGTTGACTATCTTGCCACTAAATAAACGGGTTATCAATAACTGTTACCTTAAATGATGTTAAAATCCGAACAGAAAATCTCAATTCCTTTTTATATTTCTTGTGAAATTAAACTTTGTCTTGAACACATTACTTTTTGATGGAAATATCTGATATTTTCCGTGTTTTTGGTGGGGTTCGGGTTGCTCATTTTTTAGTTTTCTTTATAGTGATTGGTATAGTGTTGTTTGTCTAAATTTGAATTGGAATTCGAGATATAAGATGGTATGCAATCAGCACTGAAAAATTTACTGCTAAAATCAAACGTCACAAACTTAATTACAACGGTATCAGATATATAGCATTAACCTATAATAACTGTACGGAATGTACAAGGGCAGGGGGTGTACAAAAACTGCTTCAACAGAATTATGAGGAAGAACGACACTACATGAATTTGATGTTCACCATCACGAATTTGTTCACCGATTCAATATGTAAGTGTCTCAGCTCACTAGTGACATGTTTTTTGCAGGCTTTGATCTTTAGATACCAGAATAGTCGTCTTATCTGTAATTTTACCGATTGTGTCCTATTCCAGACTATGATATTTTGACAAAGTGTACATTCGCATGACTGGTGATGTACGCAAAGCAGGATACGCTTGCCATGTCGACGCACTCGATCTCGCTCAAGCTATTTCCTCAATTGTTATGTGTTACCTTGATTTGTAATCTTTATCATTTATGAGATAAGAACATTGGTTAACTACTGTTGACATAAAGTATACATTCCGAGCCACGTCTCTTTGACTGTGCGATAACACAGTCACACCAAATCAGTTGGCTTTTTGACATTGTTTTACATCCCCCCCGTTTTTTTTTTAATTAATATTGTATTTATATTGTGTCATAGATCAAATTTATTCGTTCAGTGTATGTTTACTTTTTTTTGTTAATATGTCTTTTTGATCGATTTAAGCCATTTCAATTGATATTTTATAGTGTGTCTTTCTATGTTGTCATGTTACACTACTGTTTCAGGTTAGGGTGAAGGTTGGCGCCTGTTAAAACGTTTAAACCCGCTGCATTTGTTTGCACCTCTCCTGAGTCAGGAACCTGTTGTTCAGTGGTTGTCGTTTGTCGTTTGTTGATGTGGTTCATAAGTGTTTCTCGTTTCTCGTTTTTTATATAGATTAGACCGTTGGTTTTCCTGTTTGAATGGTTTTACATTAGTCATTTTGTGGCCCTTTATGGCTTGCTGTTCGGTGTGAGCCAAGGCTCCGTGTAATGGCCATACTATGACCTATAATTGTTTATTTTTTACACATTGTGACTTGGATGGAGAGTTGTGTCATTGCCACATCTTTTTATTTCTACATAGACTCAAAGATACAAAAAAAACAAAACAATCTAGAACAGGAAACCGAAAAACTGTCATACAATCTTAAAGGTTTGGCGTACTGCAAAACCTGGTTCAACCAACCTCTCTAATTCAAAAGTGCCTGTATTAATTCAGAATTCTGATAGGCATTTGCCAATGTTTGCTACCAAGATTATCGTCCGAAGAGATTTTGAGACACTAGCTAGTATAAAGATAAGGAGAAGTAGTGTTATTGACATTAAGACAACTATCCACCAATAGTATAACTATATCCACCAATAGTATAACTATATCCACCAATAGTATAACTATTGGTGGATAGTTGAACTTTCATGAGAAAATTTTAGTACCATGTCCTCTGTACGAAACTTCTTGGAAATCATACTAGTAACACATTTGTACTTAGAATTAAATAATTTTTATACGAACTTTTAAGACAATATTTCAGTATCATGTCCCCTGGAGGAGTAGTAGTATTTTTTACGTACACAACAGCCGTCTTATGAAATATTCGTCAAGGATCGTAATTGGAAATATTCTATGTTTTAACGGGATTACTAAAGTTAATGATTTGTTGTGCCAAATAAAATTATGTAAATGTATGAAGTCAAGAAGGCTTTGTTCAGAAATAATCTGAATAAAATACAAATCCTGATTCCATGCTTGTTACAGTATTCCTATGAAAATAAATATCATGTGTCTACGATTTGCTTAGAAGCAAAGCGTGGATTCAGAATCTGTATTTTAATCAGATTAGTTCAGAAGAGACAAGATTTGAGGTTCAAAAATATAAGCGAAGATATTTGTAGGCAGGAAGAACTGATGTTAAAATAAAAAAGAAACCTCTTGAAATTCTTGAAATAAATTGGCGAAATTCAGATAGCTGAAGACCGGGTGTCAGTAATTGCCATGAAGGTTATAGACTAAGATGGGAATATTAATTCACAACTGACAGATAAGGAAAATCGGAATTCAGAAATTTGTTGAATCAAAAGATAAACATTTTAAATTTTGTTTTATTGAAGGAATCCATGGATAGTACTTGCGTTTACCCCGTAGTTTTATTTCTAGCCATGACGGCCATGTTAGATAGCCATAGTTCATTAGAAACAACCAGCTCTTACTAAAAATGTATGTGTTGATTCTGCTCGATAAATATGCGTTAAATTATATAAAAAGTCAATGGGTCACCTTGTGTTTATGGAATGTTTAATATATAAATTATTGAATTACAAATGTTTATATGTAATGCAAAATAATGAACTTTACTTTATTTGGCTGTATAACATCACGTCCAAACGGAACAACCAAGTCTTAAAAGCTGGACTGAAGATGTCAGACCAATCTCAGACTAACAAAACAGTGGAACATGTTTTCCATTGTTCAATTTGCGCGCAGGTATACATACAGCACATCTACTATTATGAAAATTATACAAAAATTTGCGACATCACATATTTACTGTTCTTCTGCCATTAGGCAATGTATAATAGATAATTGATCGATATATCCGATGTTGGTGAAATTTTGTATGCATTTAGAATTCGTTGATTGTATCTGATTATAAAAAAAAAATATGTCATATATAGCATTTATAATTCAAGAGATACAGTCAACTAAAATTTTGTGAAATAGGTCTTAAAATGTAGAGAAATTTAAAAGTCTTATCATTACCAGACAGATCAATGGACATTTAATTTTTTAATAAATCGGTATGATCAGAATTAAGCGCTGTGCTTGTAGAAGACTTTTATTCTATGCTTTGACAGACAGACTTCTTTGAATGGACATGATTCAAAATAATTTTATTCAAAAATGTAACATATAAAAATCTATATGACAGTTAATTTACAGAAACACTTGTTTTATAGATTAAATTGTTATAAATTAGGTCAAATTTTTTCATGATTTTTAGGAAAACAAAGAATTTGGGAATTTTTCTTTTTTTATTTTGCTCTCAGTTTGGTATTGATTTTGTTTCTCCGTCGGAACGTATATGTGTGTGGGAGTTGGCTGATATAGTACATGTATTGATTATTGAGACCACAGTAAAAAAAGCTGTTTTTTCAATGAATAGGTACACAATAAGTACGTCGAAGGTTTTTATTGAATTTTAAACTATTTTTTTTTCAAATTATGTACTTCATGGGGTGACGTGAATCTGTTAAACTGTTTGGCATGTTTTAAATCTAACTTGTTATACTATAGAGTCTAGATTAAAAATTTAAACCGTAGTTCATTTCACTTCAGATTCTGTCTTTGTTTTTATTCATTTTTATCTGCCCTAAATGTGTTCACAAATTAAAGTTAAAGACTTTCATTAAATATTCGTTATATATCAAATGCGTAAATCAGTTTCTGTTCGTAAACACACAAGGTAACCCAAAAAGGAAGTGATATACTTTATTTACAATATTTTCTCTCTATATATATATATACATGAACGCATATAAGTAGGTTATGAGTTAAAATACAGAGTCGGTAAGTAAGAACGATTGAATTTTAAATTATCAATATACCACGATTAATTGTATATGTATGTGTACTATCAATTTAACTACGATACTTAATTGTAATGTCATGATCAATCAAAACTAATTCACCAGACACAATTCTCCGTACATAATGAAGCCAGAGTCGAGACCCTGTATTGGCTATGCATCAGATCAGCGCATGACTCTTTCATGCAATACATAATAAAAAAGTTCATGTTTAACAAAAGGATTTGTTCTGACGTATGATTCCACTCGCCGACTCGAATCATAACAGATTTCCGCACAACTTTTTATCGTCGATTTTTTGTACATTTGATGAGCAACTGGTAGAGTAAGGACTGCACAGTTATCATTACCATTCCAAAGGATCTGAGTTTGCTGCTGACATTGTGATTTCTGCTTCTTCTTCTTTAATTTTCTCCGGTTGTTTTCTATAGTGATATTTTTTATTTAAATGTGTATGTCTTTTTAATCTATCGATACTGATCTTGCACTCTTTCGTCCGGATTTCTTATTCTCCATTTTAGAGAATATACAAGTTTGGATGGTCAGTTCTTTCTTTGTCGTACAAAACACTATTCTCAACACATATACCTACTTTTTACACACAATGTTGCAAGTGCAGAATTGACGCTTGAATTCAACTTATAAATTTACATTTAAAATTTATTTATTGGTATACATTTATGGGATTTTTGAGATAATTTGATGACTCCCTCTGGCACCTTTCAAAGAAGATAATATCATATCCATGTATTAACATATCTATTGTAAGTATGATTAAAAACATTATTCAAGATTTCCTTGTGTTTTTAGAGAACCTGCATTGTTCTCATTTCCGATTTTCCAAAAATGCGTTTCGAGGAAATTACAATGAGGAATTTAATTAAACAACAATCGAAAATCATAATAGAATTACGTCTAAATGCTGTAATATATGTCCTTGTTTTAATATTTTAGAAAAAGTTATTTTGATCATAATGGCTGTTCTGGGATTGGAATTACGACTGTAGGTAAACGCTTATTTTAAAATGGACGATACTTCAGATGCGCAACTGACGCCTTCATCAATACCACCACCGCCACCTTTACCTCAAGCGTCAGCGTTACCACCAGTATCAGAGTCAGGACTTGATCATCAAATGATGTTGAAAGAACCATCATCACATGTATCTGAAGTTCAAAAGTTGGAAGCAATCCCTTGGTGGGTAAACTGATAATGATGTATTGATTTTCAGGTCGACTGTTTGAAACCTGAAAACACATGATTCTTATGATTTATAAATGGCAAGGTTTTTTTTCTCCATGCAATAGATCTATTATAGTTATACCATAGATAAATCTAAAAAAAACATAATTAAACCGTACTGGATGTAACGTAGCTACCAGGCACACTTTTTCAATATAAAATGAATCTATTAATGTTCTATATGGATACCTCAACATAGAAGAAAGGCGAAAGATACCAAAGGGACATTTAAACTCATAAGTCGAAAATAAACTGACAACGCCATGACAAAAAAAGAAAAAGACAAACAGACAAACAACAGTACACAAAACACAACATAGAAAACTAAAGACTAGAAGGAAACAATATTTGTTTGTGCTGGTAGTTGTGTTAAATTTTCTTATGTGCCTCTCTAAAAATAAAATCGGGACCGAACATAAATAATCAATTTGAAGTAAAAATTCAATCTTTTCTATTGCAGCAATGATAAAGAAGACATTTGTAATCGCTCTGACGATTCTATTAATGGGGACAGTGACGACAACGATAAGGATGACGACGACGACGACGACGATGAGGATGACAATGTCAAGACGCTGCTGTCTTTTTATCACGGTGGACACTGGAGTCGGCAGCAATCAAAAGATATTTGTAACGTTCTATGGATAAACGAAAAGGAGCTAAAAAATCTAAATTACAGGGTAAGTTAGTAAATGAATAAACAGAAATGTATGGCCAAGGTGAATTAGACAGTAGTCCCTTAAAAATAATTTTTAAAAAATAATTCCGAGGTTTCGTTAAAGGTAAGGGTCCACACCACGACAAGTCACATGCCGTTAAATTCTTAATGAACTGGACAAGGCGACCGAAAATCCAAATTCATAACAAAGTCCCAAACATTACAAATACACACGATTAATACATGAAGTACAATTTCAATATGCATGGAATCTTTCTGTGACGTGTCAAGGATATTTATTGAAAACTGAAGAAGTTGAATTTGAATACACTAAAATGGAACCGTCTTTTGAAGAAAAAAAAATTTAGCAAAATAACTAAGATATCAAGTCTGGAAAAACAAAAAAAACTGAGCCTATTTCATATTACTAGCAACAGGTGCACGAAATCAATATGAGTTTGTGAAGTTCTAAAGGTCTAGGTTGAAAACTGTAGGAGGAGTTGATTACATTAAATAGGTAGTTATTTATTATCGAAACTGCCAGACCGTCTACCCGCCCAATCAACCACACTCAAGTCCGACCGACATCACCATACCATAAGGCGGTTTTGCACATTGTGCAACCGACCAAAAGCACAAGTACAATTTGCATACATATACTTGAATGTGATTGGTCCGTTAGATTTTTTTCCCTTGGTTTACACTTCCATAGACCATGTTACCGGAACTATTTCGTAAACTTGTTAACACTGACTTGTGTGTTGTTTTTACTGGATATATTACTGGATGGAAATTGGATTCTCGAGGTTATTGGTGTGTAAGCTGGGCCGATGCAGTAATCTCTAGACAAAATGTGTTTAATCCAAAATTAAATTTCCTGATAGCGTATCTAAAAATGGTCAAAGTTATTGAAAGTATCAAGTTTGAATATTCCATGGAAAAACAGAAAAAGAAAACCACTTCAACGAAAAAATACAAATACAGTCACATTTAAAATACCGGATATTGAACGAAAGACACTCTAAAGACACGGATCAAAACAGAACAAAAACTGGTGAAATCAAACAATTATATATTTTTGGTGAAAAACCTAAAAAATAAAATGCATTGATTCATTGTAAGTGAAGAAAAAAGCTAGCCGTTATATACTATATATATGAGTTCCTTATATAAAACATTTATAATTATCATTATCAGGAAAATGTATGGTGTACAGCACACGTGATTAATTATCTGAGGAATAATGATATGACTTCTTGGGAAGAAAAATGGAAGGAAATAGAAGCTGAATCTACACAATGGCTTATATCCCAGCTACATGAGCGACAAAATCTTGAGATGCTGTTCAAAGAAATTGAACTACCAAAATCTGGTAAAAAACAAGATGATAAACGATTAAGTAAATTACGATTGAAACGTTTTCGAATATTTGCTTGTGACATATTGTAGTATAAAAATTCTGCCAAATAAAGTGTTTGTTATTTTAAGAAAGAAGGAATATTGAAATCGAAATTCCAGTATTGCTGGATTCAAAGGACACGTTCTACTCGTGTGTACCTTTTTTACTTATTTAATGCGTTTTTTTAGGGTTTAACGTCTATCTGTTAGATTAAATGAATCGTTGTAAATGTTACAACTAACACTATTATACAGATATTTATGGGTAAGAGTTATGCAATATTACTTACAATCTACTAAAATAGTGTAAAAATAACACGAAAAGAATTAAAGCTGATTGATATTCAGTGTATATTGTACCCAATTTGGTAGGTATAGGTTTCATCCACAAATCTCAAGACGGTCTAAGTTCTGAAATTATCCAAATCATCTGGGTTTTTTGTCAACTCGAAAAAGAACATTTAATTTTATTGTACGCTGCTTTATAATTCTATGAATATCAATTTTATTGGAACAGTCATCAATAAATATGGGAACTGATAAACTAAGCTTTAATTCGTTCTGCAGAACAGTTTTCAGTTTGGAATCTCTATGACCACAACACGTGTTTTTGGAAAACCCTTCATCAGGTAGGATCGACACCACAAGTTTGGAAAGTTATAAAGAGGTAGGCCCAATTTGTCCTGACTCTATTTCACACCTGGGCAAATTTTCTAAAAGTACTTTAAAATTTCTAAAATTCACAGTATCATAGATTTATAAGTGTACTTTAATGTTTTAACAATATTTGATGTATTTTCTAACTTATGACCAAATTAAAGATGGTTCAAACTAAAATTTTGATATATTTTTGTCAATTTTATATTTTATGCACGAAGTACTATACATACTTTAATAGCTAAGCTGTAAAAAAAGAGAATGTTTTTGTATTGCAAGCAAAACCAAGAAAAGTCTTTACATCACGGAAATATTTACCTACATTATTGACCCTTTTCATTGAACTGCATACAATTACTAAAAAAGAAAAGTATGTAGTGCTACAATACTATATATTTTAATCTGTTTTCCCTACAAATAACTGAGTTGTCATAGTGATGTTTTTGTTTTTTGTAATTAGTTTTTTGTGGGTTTTCTTTTCGTAATAAATTAACATGTATCTGTATCATGTTTTCTTTTTTTAAATAAGTAAACCAAAGGATTGATTGATTGATTGATAATTGATTGTTATACGTCCTGTGCGTAATCATACGGAATCAAATGATGCGAGTTATAAGAGAGGCAAAAGACACCAAACGATATTCAAAGTGATAAGTCGAAAACAAACTGACAACGCCATGGGGGAAAAAAAACGAACACTAGGAAAAGACAAACAACAATTCACAAAACACAACATAGAAAACTAAAAATTGAGCAAAACGCACCCATCTAAACTGGAGTGATCTCAGGTGCTTCGAAATGGTAAACAAACCCTGCTCCACATGTGGCATCAGTTAAAATGAGACATGATAATTGATCTACCTTTTTCCTTCTTTAATACGAATTATCTCTTTTCCTTGAAGATTGGAAATATACCTCTTGCTTACTATATAATATTTTGTTGTCTTTTAATGGCGATGTATCCCTTCACACATTCTCACTTTGGAATTAGTCACCAATCATAAATACCTTAACGTACATTGTGCACGTGAAACCTGAAGTATGCACAAGAAGCCCCTAAAGCGACTTGATATAAAAATAAAGAGTTTTGTTATCATTGAAAATGAGACAACTATCCATCAGAGTTCAAATGACGTGGATGTAAGCAATTATAGGTTACCGTACGGCTTTCAGAAATGATGAAAACCTACACCTCAAGAATGCTTCCAAGAGTTCTAGATTTTTGAAATTCTTTCCCTTGAAAAGATTCCTTCCCTTGAAAAGATATAAATTGTCAAAGATTTACTATCAACACCAATTCTTAATTAAAAAAACATTAATAGATATGTCATAAGACTACTACGGACATACGTTGGACAGTAACATCAATAGATATGTCATAAGACTATTACGGACATACGTTGGACAGTAACATCAATAGATATGTCATAAGACTACTACGGACATACGTTGGACAGTAACATCAATAGATAAGTCATAAGACTACTACGGACATACGTTGGACAGTAACATCAATAGATATGTCATAAGACTACTACGGACATAGGTTGGACAGTAACATTAATAGATATGTCATAAGGCTACTACGGACATACGTTGGACAGTAACATTAATAGATTTGTCATAAGACTACTACGGCCATACGTTGGACAGCAACATTAATAGATTTGTCATAAGACTACTACGGACATACGTTGGACAGTAACATCAATAGATATGCCATAAGACTACTATGGACATACGTTGGACAGTAACATTAATATATACGTCATAAGACTACTACGGACATACGCTGGACAGTAACATTAATAGAAATGTCATAAGATTACTACGGACATACGCTGGACAGTAACATTAATAGAAATGTCATAAGATTACTACGGACATACGCTGGACAGTAACATTAATAGAAATGTCATTAGACTACTACGGACATACGTTGGACAGTAACATTAATAGATACGTCATAAGACTACTACGGACATACGCTGGACAGTAACATTAATAGATATGTCATAAGACTACTACGGACATACGGTGGACAGTAACATTAATAGATACGTCATAAGACTACTACGGACATACGTTGGACAGTAACATGAATACTCGAAAGGTTTAACCTTTTTGTTTGATCATGTTTAAAACCCGCCACATTCAATGTGTATCAGTCCCAAGTCAGCAACTCTTTTCAAAAAAATCTTACGATTAAAATTGGTCGTAAGTTATACTGAAATGTGTATGACTTAAGAGTATTTTTACTCTTAAGATTTTTTGTGAAAAGAGCCACAGGATCTTGTAATTCAGTGGTTGTCGTTGTATGCTGTCTGTGATATTTGTTTTTGGTTTATTGTTTTGTAATAAATCAGGCCGTTGGTGGTTTCGGTTGAAATATTTCATGTTTAGTCATATCGGGGCCTTTTATAGCTAACTTTATGGTATGGTTTTGATCATTGTTGAATGTGTTATGGTGACTTATAGTTGCTTAATTCTCCTCACCCACTATTGTGCATCAAGTGTGTTCTTAATTGTATCTATTCAATTAGAATTATGAACCATTTCCAAATCTGAAAAAGTGAGTTATCTGATTTAAAAGTTGTTTGCAATACCCTATTCTCATATTATTTTTTAGTTATCCCCTTCTCTTACTCATGTTATATCAATCAAATATATTCGTGGTTCACATTTTCAGCTTTTCATTGATGATTTGTAACTCCTCCAGAATTTCTCTAATAATGAACAAAAAAGTCCGAAAAAAACAACAAGCTTCATGCACATTTTTGCATAAACATACGAGAAAAGCTCCCTGAAAATTACGTTTCAACCATGAAGCTCTCACAGATATATTTTGTGACTCTGAAAATGCAAAAACGAAATAAAAATTGATTGTGTCCTGTTTTCAATACAAACAAACTATTTTTTTTCCTCCCTTCTGAATTGATGTTTTTCCTCAAGAAGTTTAGAATAAAAACATGTACGTGTACTAATATTTAAAACATAAATATACACACCTTTAAAGATGAATGGTCGGTGCCATATGGTTTTTATATAAAATCACATTAATCTTAGAGAGATAATTGTTTTGGAAGCAATTCCCAGTGTCAAAATGTAGAACCGTCAACTGATGCCAGGAAAGGGAAGGTCAAGTACCATACGGTGCTCGGCTTCATACTGAACCATTGAAATAAAAATAAATCATTTAGCCTTTGAACGGATAAAACAATAGAAAGTCATGTGCTGTTTTGAAACGTGACTTCCGATTTTTTTGTATATTTATTTATTCACGACTTTATGATTTCATTTTCTAACAGTATTAGACAGCTTTACTAGCATTTACACAAAAGGTAAGATACAGAACTTATTAAATCTCATAGAACTCTATGTAAGAAGCTGACGTAAATCACAAAACTTTTTTTTTTGCATATTAATAAGCCAACTTTGATCTTAGAATGTTATCAAAATGAGATAAATTATATTATGGTATTGTTTTTTTTTTATATTTAAGCTAAATATTTTCTTGCAGTTTTGCCATTTTTTTCGAGTTATGATCCCTTTTATCAACTTTAAGGGCATGGCAAATATTAATGTAAGTACTAATGTTTGTCTTGGTACCTTCTTATTTGTTTAAGTATAAAAAAATCATTAAAAATTATAAATTTCTATGATTGACTCAAAACGTGGTAGGCGAGTACTGTTCTGCATTAAACTTTGCAGTCTTGTCTTAAAGTTGCATGATGTATGTTAATGAAAAGTGTTTGCTACTTGCATTTTTTATGATTTAAAAATTATGTGTTGGTACGTGGACTAATAGAATGGGCGAATACTGCTTAGTAACTCAAAGTAAGTAATGCTAAAAGAACACTTAGTAATTATAATAACTTTGAATGTAAAAGTTTTGATTTCATGCATCTTGTCCACGAACTTTATAGATGAGCCTTCTTAATTTCCCACCATTGGCTTCCTGTTGTACGATTCTAACTTAGAACAATTCCCCTTCTATTAGTCCGCGTACCAACTCGTGATAATTTCTAAATCATAAAAATAGGCTTCCTGTTGTGCTATTCTAACTTAAAACAATCGCAAATACTTCCTGTTTGTAATGAGCTTTTGCTAAGTGCGTTGGATAGTTTCATTGTATTAAAGAAGTTTGAAATGGTTGTAATTATAGTAAATTGTTTATAAACTTATTTTATTTATCATGTTTTCCGGGAAGAAAACAAAAGCCTCAACATATTATATTCCTCAGACTTTTCAAAATATAATATGAAGATCAAAATTAAACTACTAGTATAATGGAGAGGGTGTCGTAACTTATAAAACGAAATACAATAAAATGTAAACAATCAAACAATCTTCTTGTTTCGATTTTAATTGGTCAAAACAAATTTGCTCGTAAGATTGACTTATTTATCGTAATAACAACTCGCAAGCATTCCTAACGTGGGTTCGATCCAAACAAGCGATTCGGTTGATGCAAACTTTACATATGTGATTATAACCTTAGTTTTAAATTCAATTTCTTTTTAATAATGTAATGAAAAATAAAACTGTTTTCATCATTCATAAATTTCACCAATATTTCCACTTTTTGATTGACAGGATGTATTTCAACAACAAACCTACGTCGACCGACCATCCAGTTAATTTGAACTGGTGTAGTAAATGTATGTCTCAACCTGTGACTTTGTCAAGCCAAATATGCGAGAATCATCTGGGCACCAGTTTTGACGCGCTTTATTTAAGTCAGGACAATGTGCTTGACTTACCAAAGCCCAATTTCGATTTCCTGGCAAAATTCAATATCGAACAAGAACTCTGCTTCGACACAACACCAGACCAAAAAGATGACATCAAACTTACATCCACTGAATTTTCTGACATAGTCTGCACTGATGATGACCATCTCATTTTATGCAGTTCTGGATCAAGAGTTATTCAGAATAGACGAGCAAGAAACAGTGAAACTCGATTTAGCCAAAAGCTTTTAAAATATAGCGAAAAAGGTAAATATGTCAGCCAGTGTCATTTAGAAGGACCACCAAGAAAAATTTGTCTATTACAATCCGGAAAAGAGGCCGTCGTTACACTTGGACAAAAGATCCAATTCGTCAGTCTTACGGATATGAGCCCAATGAAATCGGTGATGATCGGATCCGATTGTACCGGAGTGGCTTTGGTTAATAGGATGATTTACGTTGGTGATTCTTCCAAAATCCACGTGCTTGATCAGATTGGTCGTCATTACAGAACAATTGATTCACCGTGCACACCAAACAACATATGTAGGAATTTAGATGGGCGTTTATATTGTACAACCGGAATCGCTTTATGGTGCATTACACCGGAAGGGAGCTTAGTCTACTCTTACAACGCGACTGACCTTGGTCCAGCCAATGCTGTAGTATCTGATAGTAAAGGAAACATCTATGTTGGTGGATCAGAACTTCAGATGTTCCATCCCTACAGAGCAAAAGTTGAACGCATTCTACTCAAAGAAGATGGACATGG